GATGTCTAGTTGAATGAAAAGAAGGACCAGGGGAGACAGGATAGCAGTCTTCCAATATTTGAGTGTCTGCCTCAAAGAGGAGGGGGGCAACTTATTTTCCAAAGCACAGAAAGCAGGGCAAGAAACAATGGATGGAAACTAACCAAGGAGAGAAGCTACCTGGAATTAAGGCGAAACTTCTTAATAGTGAGGACAATTAACCAGTGGAACAGAAGTTGCCACCAGAAATTCTGGGTGCTTCATCACTGGAGGTTGGGCTGGACAAACACATTTGTCTAGAATGGCCTAGGGGTCTCCTGCTGAATAAGTGGGTTGGACTAGAAGACCTCCAAGGTCCCTTCCAACTCTCTTATTCTGTTAACGCGTATGCCTGCATCCTGCTTGATTGATCGTCACCCCTCCCTCCCGTGTCCCCCTTCTCATCCAGGCTGCCATTCACCCAGGCCGATTGTGCCACCCCGTTTTCCTTGGCATCTCCCAAGTGGTGGAGATTTCCCCAGGATTGGCTGGGTGAACTCCAGATTCTTCCTGTCCCCCCTTCTCCTCCTCCTCCTCCTCCTCCTCCTCCTCCTGCCGCTTCCTTCCCTTCTGCTCCTCCGTTTCCTCCGGCCCGGCCCAGAGGTGCCACGCCCAGCCAAAGGTCACCCGTTCACCTGCCTGCCCGCCTCCTGCTTCCGGGGAACTGGCAACGGCGGCGGGAAGGCAACAGTTCTACCCTGTTCCCAGTAGTCCTTGATTTACGACCCTTCAACAACTATCCAAAGTTGGTCCCTGTCGTATATGAGGCACAGAAAGAAGTGAATTACGACCGTTTTTCACACTTGAATGGCAGCTGCAGCTTCCCTCTGGCCACATCCATTGCACTCCATTCCGCAACCTTTCTTGTGACCGTTGTTAAGTGAATCAATGCAGTCGTTAAACCAGTAACACTTGTTAAGCGATTGATTGATTTTGCAGGCCAGAAGGTCGCAAAAGGAGATCACAGAACAACACCCCCCCCCACCCCAGATGCTGCAACCGTCATAAGTATGAAAAAACGGTCCTTAAGCCAATGCCACCTTGAGTTTGAAGGGTCACTAAAGAAATGGTTATAAGTCGGGGCCCACCTGTAGATTTTTGGGGGGTTCCTTCTCAAAACACTCTTGCATCCTCCGGGTGGCTTTTAGGGGTCCCTAAATCAATAATAAATAAAATTCAGCCTAGGATTTAACCAGGTTTGCCTTTGGATATGTGGGGTGCCCTGGTGGGATTGGGGGTGGGGGGGAAAGAATTGGCAAAGAAGTTTTCCTGATTTAGTTGCTGCGTTGAGGCTGGGAGCTGGAAGGACTCCCTCCCTCCGTCCCCCCCTTATGCTCCTCCCC